GATTGTAAGTTAATTGATATACAGTCGATCCACCTATAAGACGGTAGATACGTTCCGTTCTTTATGAATCCGATTTTCTAGAATCACAGCTAACCACAACCCGACACGTGTGAAGTTTACGGACTTAAGGCTGTTTGAAAGGTTTTCTTCCATAAAATTAACCGATTCTAGACTAAGCCGACTCAACATTTCTAAAATACGTATATATTTTTTTGGAAATAATCCGTATAAACTACGCTATAAACAAAAATATTGTAGGATTACTTACCGAGTGTGCACCATTCGACAACGCCGTTGCTCAAGCTTGTTTTCGTCGCGGAATAGCTCGCAAACGGCGGGCGCGATTTCTGATGTTATTTTTCTGCGAAAACTTCGCTGAACTTTGGAGACATCATTAATATAAATAATTTTTATCGCCGTTAAAAAAGAAATGTTTCTTTCACAAGAAATGTATAAAATTACAGTGCTGTATTAGACTTACGGTACCTAATTTACATACTGTACAGACGATAGTTCGCCTAAATTCTTCATAACGTGGCGCCAGGCGGCGGAAAGCATATATATAATCATAATAAAGTTACAATAAATTAAGTTAATATATAATTATATATACCCAGGGTGGCCAAGCTCTTTGATAGTCTTAGCCATTTTTCAAAATTGAAATTTTTCGCGAGCCGCAATTAAATACGTATTAAAACGGTATGCAAAAATTTCAGATTACAAATTATATCTGTAGCAAGAGTGATACAAATTGTTTCCTCCAAAGAACAATGTCAACTGTACCGTTTCAATGAGAGTTTACAAATTCAAAGTCGGTCTGGAGTCGGTCGATAAAGGACGATTACGCCACTGTTTATGTTCGTTCGCACAGTTTTCGTTGAGTCATATCATTCTCAACTTGGACGGAAATGAAATTTGTTACAACGTTGCACTTAGTCTTTCATATTTGTTGTTAGTAANGCGTGTGAAGAAAAATGCCTTCTGAAAGGACTTTAATTAAGAGAAACTGATTCCTATTCAGGAGTCATTGACGTGGAGAAAACTCAATAAACTCCATGCTCCCAGCCTGTTTGAGCAAGGCGCGAACCCACGATCTAACTTCTAGTGTTAAAAGGCTAGTCCACTCAAAGTGCAGAGACAGAGACTATTCGGCCCCTGGTGGGCTTTCTTTCTCATTTGAATTATTTCCTTTACAAACACTTTAACTTGCTACTCTTCTTATCGATAATACTGTTTTATAATTGGTGGATTTCTGTTCCCGAATTATTATATGTTTTTTTATGTACATATATTTATATAAGTGTCTTTTAAAATTATTACTTTCCCTTTTCTGTATTTCAACAGTATTTAAATCTATTTCATATTTATTTTCCGTTTTACTGCAGTGTCTGCCAATGCCGAATTTGCTTATTTTGTTCATGGCTTTAATAGGTTCTTTTAGTAATATTATTAACACTTTATATTTTTTATATATATTTAAATCTTGTGGGTATAAATTATGTTATGGTAAGAATTTTATAAATCAAATATAATTAATTATTTTTATAGTAATGTTTATTTACGAATATAACTATAACGATCGTATAAAAATGACTTTAAATAATCCTATTAAAAACCCAAATTAATAATTTATTAATAAACTTTTATTTAAAACATTTAATTTATTAAATACATTTTCGTGACATTAAAATATTACATATAAATAAAGTTTTGTTTAAGTATAAACTGACAATACATCGATAGGATATAAACTTTTATTTAGATACAAATAAACAATAAATTAGCAGAATATAATTTTATTTTTAAATACAATCAAACAATAAATAAATAAATAATGATTTTTTTAAATACAATAAAACAGTGAATAAATAAATAATGATTTTTT